TTCAGGGACGAATTTAATTTGACTCCATCGAAATCTATTTCATCCGCCATATAATATGTACAGTACTACATACTATATGTAAATATAGTACAGTATACATATTGTTTCCAAAAGAAACCTGCCAAAGGAGATTGTGCGAAGAAGCTCGTAAGCAAACAATCAGAAGCGAGTCATATTGGTCATATGATGCATCATTTGATTCTACAATAATTTTTTCAAACAAACCTTCAAATACATTATCAACATTTTTGTTTTGGAAATGGCGTGATTCCAGATTTTCCCGTAATTGCGATGCTGCCTAGTCATTACAGGTTTTCTAGACAAACAAAAAACCCACAGAGAAGGATGAGACCTTGACGATGGTTCTGTAGCTTCAAATGGAATTTATTTTCTGTTACTAACTTCACCCGGCAGAATAAATCAGAAATATTTTTATAATGTATTTTTTCATATTTATTCTTTGGGCCCACTAGTGGTCGAGTAAAGAAAGCGAGTAAACGCTGATATTTGGTCGTGAGTTCGTGCCTGGTCAACGGCTGGCCATACACGTTTTCCGAGTTTTCTTAACGTTATTAAAACTAGGGGACCATTTTCCAGAATTTGTTTGTATTGCAGATTAACTGTATTTAATAAGACCACGGCCATCTGTTATTTTGGTTATATTTTTGACATTGTGATCCTCCTTGGTGAAATGAACTCACTTTTACCATACACATTGTTGCAGTGTATTTACGTCTTTGATACGTTGAGAAATGCATGAAAATTCGGGGGTAATTTCTGTATGTATGAATATTAGTGTGTGGGGAAGGGACTCAATTTTGCTCACTCTATTTGAAGCTTAATAACTCTTGTGTGTTTTGTTGAAAATTTCTGAAATTTTGCACAGTGGTTTGTTTGTTAGGAGAATTGATGCTATTAAATTTTTGTGGTTAAATGTTGACGGAGTGAGACGATAAACGGGGTCGTGTGTATCTTCAGTAGGGTCAGACTTAATGATGATTTTACTCGTTTTTAGCATTTATAATTTTTTTTATAAAACCCATCTATCGGGATAAAAATCGTCTGGCGCACGGTTTTCCCGCGCTTTTCCAATCGTTCGACGAACGACGGTTGTCGCCATAGGAACAGCAATCGGACCACTTTTGAAAACTCGACCACCGATTGGTTGAGAGACATCGGACAATCGGCGGACGTCTTGTAGCGCGGCTAAGCGCTGATTGGTGGAATCCAATTCGGCTTCAATCCATATAAAAGGATTGAGTTGTGGCGGGAAATTGAGTTCGCCTGGGATACATCTATGGAACTCACGCTTGACTTTAGTTCGTCTAATTGTTTCATCTTGTTGGACTGTAAATGACTTAAGAGTTAGTTCGTCGCAAGGTGTCTTTTCGACGGACCTGTTGTAGTGGATAAATGTGTTGAACTTTGTTGTAATTAACGTTTTGTAAATGTTTGTTTTGTGAACTTTGTAACTGTACATACGTTTATTTTCAATATATATATAAGTTTTAAATTTAACTGGGTATATGGGCGTTTTGAACTTTACTCCATCTCTACCCTCAAAATTAAGCTTTTTGCTATTTTAAAATAGTAAAAAAATTATAATAGATAAAGCCACCAAATTTTGGCGTGAAAGTTAGACGACCCGTTGCTGGATTTTTTAATCTTATGCGTTATTTACTATGGAAAGGAAAACGTTAAAGAGATTATTTAAAAAATAAATAAGTAATAATTAAGTTAGAATAAGTTCACAGTTCTGGGTGCTCTGTAAGGCTTTGTTTGGTTCGTACCAGTAAGGTTGAAAAACTAATTTTTTTGCGTGGCCTTTCCCGGATATGTAGACTCCGTCTCTCACCATCCGGCCGTTCCATTGCGGGCCTGACCAAACTCACGATTGGCTTGAAAAAAGGGCCTTCTTAGTGCCCATAAGGCAGAAAGAGTTTAAAAAACAAAGAAAATTTTCAACGTTTGTAGCAACCTTAACTACTTTATCAAAATGACTGTGCATATAGTTATCACTTGTGAGCTAAGCAGTTAGATGATATCTAAAATACATCAATTCTCCATCATATTTTTACTGAACATTGCCGTAATAATGAACAATACGGAACAGTGAACATATGTCATCAACTTTTCATTCAGTTAAAAATAAACCGCGAATTATCACATTATATTTTGGTACATTTTTAAGTCTCATAGAAAAAGATTTCAAATTAAAGAATAAAAAAGACCATGCCTATTATGAGTTAATTAATTTATGGAACAAGTCCAAGAAAAACTTTCAGTTACGCCTCTATTATTATAATTTTAATATCTACTTTATAAATTTCACGATAAAATAATCTTGTTATGAACTTGTTGTCAGGACAATGAATAATAATTTGGTAATCAGTCTAAAGATTTTAAAGTACTTTGGACACTTACGTATTAATTTTAAAACTCTGTTAGTGCTTTAAATCATAATGTTAAGATAAGTAATAATATTCATCATTAATGAAATAATATAGAATAATTTTAAAAGAAACTTATTTGTAAGTGAAATACTAAAATAATTGCAGCGTTTAGTCAAATTAAATGCCATCAGGATTCGTTCCTTGACAATCTAATTTCTAAGATGTAAAAACGCATTGAAAGCATTTATCAATGCAATCAATGATGTAAGAATTTTGTCGATTATATGAGAGAATTACTGTATAATTGAATTTAGCATATTACAGTAACTTGTAATTCTTCAATAGAGTAATTAATGTATTTGTAGATAAAAAAAACATTCAATACTGATAAAAAAAATTACTTCATAAGGAGAAATACAATAACGTTCTGTTCAAAACAGGGCTGTGGAGTCGGAGTCGTCAAAAATTCCGCCGACTCCTTTTACTTCCCAACTTGTTATGTATATAAAACATAAAAGTATTGGAATCGTGTCAAATTTCACCCTCCCAAGTTTTTTTTTTTCAAATCTACACGTTTGGAGACCTCCCAAACCCCCCCAAAACAGGCAATAAAAGGGGAAAAATTCGCGCGTGTTTGTATGTTGGCGTCTAATTTGTTTAATTTCTTTATTTTCTGTTCTGAGATATTAAACAATGTCTCAGAATGGGTAAAGTCTAAGAAACGAAATGTGGCACTGTAATTTGCGTATAAAGGGGCATTAACGATATTAAATTTTGGTTCTTAATTAAAGGTCGACAGGGTGAAAACATAAAATGGGTCATGTGTCATATGTCTTAGTGAATATTTTACTCCTTATTAATGTTCAAAATAAAAAAATAAAAAATAAAACTCGTCTCTACCCTCAAAGTAAGCTTTTTGTCATTTTATAAAAATACAGTAAAATCCGTTAAGTTGTCCTCGCCTAAGATGTTAGAATGTGTATGGGGACACGATTTAGTTCAACCACTTTGACGCTTAATAACTAACTCCTGTGTTTACCATCTGACTCCGATTTAAAAACCACTGAAATTATTAGGCTTCAAACAGGGTGAACAAAAACATGTCCCCCCACACACAGTCTAACATACACACATATAGAAAAAATCTCGAATCTTTTGCATATCTCGAAATTTCAAGATGTCCCGAGTCCAAAAATGTAAAAATTTGGGAGGGGTCATTTTTTGACCTACCACTTTTCCTCTGTTATATTTAACAGCCGGAAAAGTAAAAATTATCGAATACATATTTATATATTGACTGTGTCATTACTTAAAGGTGTCTTTTAGCTTTGGAATAAAAAGTTTCTACGTTCTATCTTCATTAGAACTCTATTTATTAAATCGTTTATCTTAAATCGTTTATCGTGATGACATCAGAATTTCCGGGTCTCTTTTGGTAACAAGTCCGCCCCTGGTCGGAGTCGGTAGATTTTTACACGACTCCACAGCTCTGGTTCAAAGACATGAAAATTCTCAGTTTATGGATTTAAACACAAAAAGTAGAATCTAAAAATGCAGGCTTAATTCAAGCTCTGAATGATACGTTTGGGACCTTAACGGAGCTGTAGGAACTCATAGGCATATAGAAACAAAAAAGTCAAAGGAACCATATCTTCGCGAGATATAGCCCTCCAAAATTATTCTATGTGACATATTCCCGTGCTTTTATTTCTATCAGGCAATGAAATCGGGATCGTGTTTAGCCTACTTGCTTTTTTGGACTTTTAGTTGGCTGTAAAGCATGCTTGGATTTAAATAAGCAAAAGATTTGATATAAGAAAATAGAACTGATTTGTATATACAATATTTTTTATGAAATATAATTAAAAGATTCAATGAGAAAGTGGTACAAGAAACCGAACTTTTCATCTTAGTGTTTTGATGATAAAATATAACTTAAATTAAAAATTCATCTTATTATTAAGAAGAAAAATTGTTAAATATAATTACTTTCTTATTTCTGAATTTATTACCTATCAAATTTTAAATCAATGTTTTTCTTAACATTATTAAAAAGAAATTCGAGATTTTTAACATTTTTATTAGGACGCTGCTATTGTTCTACAATGAGACAGGCAGCACGGAAGAATACATTTTGTAGCGTTCAGAGAAGTGACTACATTCTTTCTTCATTTCATGCATGAAGTTAAAGCAAAACGAACTGCAGCTATGGTATCTGGCTTCGCTCTAAAAAAGAAAATATATTATCCTGAATATATGTACAAAGTTTCATAGAAATCGGTTTTATCCGTTCTCATGTGATACTCGAACAACAGATAAGAATTCAATTTTACAAAGGCTATATAGATGAGTTAAGATGGCAACTTATATTGCTTTGTCTAGAAGAAAGTGTACATTTAAATATGTTGTTTACAGCTTATCGTCTGACTCTATGACAACGGGTTTAAATCAAATATTATCGATTACGATAATAAATGATTATGTAAAGTAAGATTACACTATCATTAACAATCTTATCTTTGGACATTTTATATACATTTTTATTGATTAGTGATGTTGTATAACAGAACAAAGTACGAAAAAAATATATATATATTTTAAAATTCATTTAAAGAGAATGTATATCGCTAAGATACTGTAAAAGAGTTCTGTCATAGAAGGGAGATACAATATGGATCCTCTTGTATTCTTTTTTCTAGTTTTATCGATTATCACTATAATTAAATGGTATCTGTAAGTATCTTTATGTTATTTATGTAATTTGAAGGCAATTCATTTTGCTTCAGTTTTATTTGAATTAAAGTGCAGTTGTCAATATTGTGTTTTGTATAAGGGAAGAAAGAGTATTTATTTATCAATTATCCCTCAATCCCTTTTTATATATATAATACAATATACATTCTACAAATATGTAGTACATAATTTTATTGAAGGGTTATCAAACAATTGAAACAATTATTGCCTTATGTGCGTGCTAAAGTTCACTTCGGGCTCTGGCGTTAAGTAGCCCTCATTTTTATCATTTTATTTTTATTATTTTAATGATATTATATGGTTTAAATGTGTGAATCTTGTAAAATTTATTTATAATATTTTTTTTGTCTTAAACAGTATATAATATATAATTACTTAACTGATGAGGGCCATTTAATACCAGGGACCGAAATGCATTTTAGGTGGCTTAAAAGGCAATAATGGTTTTTCAATTCTGTGATAACCCTTCAATGAAGTTATGTACTACGTATTTGTAGAAAGCATATTATATTAAAATTATTTATGTTCTTAATTAAATGTTATCATTTTTTACGGTTAATTTTGACTGTTTATAAATATTTTTGTGACTTTTTAATAGCAAAAGAAAAGAAATATTTCGAACTTTTGAAAAACTTAATATCCCTGGACCAAAGCCATCATTTTGGTTTGGAAATATTTTGGAAATGATTAAACTGGTAACGTTAATTAACTCAAGCCGAATTTAATTTTTTTTTAAAATTTAAACTTTAAATTTATTTAAATATTTTTTTCCCAGGATAAACAATGTGAATTAGATTGGATAAAAAAATATGGATCCATTTACGGGTAATTTTCTAAACATTTTTTATACATTAATTTTTTATTAAAAAAATTTACTTTCACCATATGTATATAGTATTTTAAGAAAGTAATTAAGAGTTTCTTAAGTTTTGATTATAAATTAATTAAACTTATCATTTGACAGTTATTATTTTGGAGTTAATCCTGTTCTAGCAGTTAACGATCCAGAATTATTGAAGCTCATTCAAGTTAAAGAAGCTCAAATTTTTCATAAAAGAAACGTAAGTCATACGATCGAAGAAATATTTAAGTAATATAATTGCACAATTTAAATAAAAATATTTATATTTTTTATAGCCATATATTCCAATGTCTGCTGTGCCAAATAAACTATTTGGTATTAGTAACACAATAAATGATGGACCTATATGGAAGCAAACTAGAGACATGATAACTCCTAGCTATACTACAAGCAAATTAAAAATGGTTTTTCATTGTTTAATTCTAATTAAAACAAGGATTAAATGATATAATTGCATTTATCAATGTTTTAATTAATAGCTAACTCCTACAGTAAACCGTACAATTGAAGAAAATTGGAAAGAAGTTAGAGAGATGATTAAAAATGGAGAAACGTTAGAAATGAGAGAGATATATTCCATATTATTGGCAGATATGGCTTTTCAAACAACGCTTGGAGTTCGTGTTAATAATAAACAGAAAATCGCCCGTTCGTTGGACTATGCCTTTGAAACTAATGCTTCAAATACTATTAATTTTATATCAGGTAAATTATTTAAATTTCGATTTTATATTATGTGAAAACAAACGAGAAAAGAAACATAATATTTTAAATGTAAAAGGTAGTGTAATATCTAAATTGTTGTATATATTATTTCATAATATTCAATAATTTTTATTTAAAAAATGTAAAATATATTAAAAGAGTGATTTAAATATTTAAAATACAAAAATTAAAACATTAAGTATTTGATGCTTGAAATAATACTTACTTATGTATTTATTTTTTACATAAAGACAATGTATTGTTTTAATTAACAAAATAATAATGAGATAATTATTATTTTCTTTTAGCATGTTTTCCAGAATTTGGAGACTTTCTTTACTTCATCAGAACTACAACTCATAAAGTAAAGCGATTCATTAATGTTCCATCGATGTTGGCTGTTGTCGATCTTTGCAAAGATGCAATTTCTGCCAGACTCTCTTTGCAGAAGGTATGCGAATTGTATAATAATTATAAAATAATTCAATAGTAAAACTTTAATAAAAATTTGATAATTTTAAAGAAATTCTTATGCATTTGATTCAAAATTAATCAAATAAATAATGAATTACTTGGGGAAGATATACTGTAACAATAAAAATTAATAAATTTCGTTTCCTTCTGAAATTATTAATTTAATAGCAAGAAAATTATGCGGATGTTCTCCAACAAATGATTAATACAATCTACATAAAAAATCAAGCAAAACCAGAAAAGATTTCTAAAGACTCGGGTAATTATATAAATCCTTACTTTTTGTCCTTTATTAGTATAAATGTATAGATATAAAAAAAATATTCTTATTTCATAAGAAATAAATGTAAATTTTAGATTTAATTATATGTATAACAAAATATATTTTTCGGGATTTCTTCATAATTTTCCTTTTCTTTTTCTTTTAGAATCAAAATCAGACACTTACAAGAAATCATTGTTAACACCTATCAACTGTTTGGCTAATAGTTTCTACGTGGCAATTGCAACGTAAGCATTACATTTTCAACTAAAATAAGAATATATTCCATTTATTATTAATAATACATATAACTATAATTAACTATATATAACTATAATTTTGTATCTTTGTGTATTAATTTAAGATATGACACTATTCGTAATCCAATGATGTTTGCTACTTATCTAATTGCTAAATATCCGGAAGTGCAAGACAGAATCAGAGAGGAAATCTTCCAGTTCAGCAATAAAGATGTAATTATTTATATTGAAATATAATTATAATCTTTGTATATTTAACTATTCTAAACTATAATATTTATATAATATTTTCAATATAAATTAACCTAGTCATTAATAAACCTAGTTTATGTCACCGTAAAGAACTTTTACCCATTAATTAAAAAAGCACAGTATCAGGTAGCAAATAAATAATGTTTTTTGAAATGTAAATAAAAATGCTTGTATTTTTGTTTAAAATAGTTTTATTCATCAAAATATTCACCTTTATATTCAGTTACATTTTCTTCATGGGGCAGTTTAAAAATACCATTTTTGTAAATGATTTAAATGACTCTTGAAGAAATCTTTTTTTGTGTTTTGAAGGGTTCGTCACAAGTACTTGAGCATTGGTCAAGCTATCACAGAAGATTTATATAATGAGCAGCTACAAAGATTACGCGACAAATTAAGATTAAAACAGCCATTTTTTGGCGAAGTGTTTTAATTTTACAAGGTAATGCTCACCCACACATTACAGAGATTACAAGAAACAAAATAATGCATTTTCGATGGAAAATTTTACCTCATCCTTTCTATTCTGCTGACTTATCTCCGTCTGATCTCTGAATAATCATATACGTGTAAAACAATTTACAAATTACGCAGCTATAAAGGAGGAAGTAACTCAATTTTTAATGCTAAAAATGGTATTTTCAAACTGCCCTTCCGTTGAAAAAAAATGTGAAGATGAATATTCTGATAAATAACATAATTTTAAACAAAAATATACAAGCATTGTATTCACATCTCAAACACGACATTATTTATTTGTTTACCTGATTATTAAAATTTATACAATAAAATTTCAGGTAAAATTTCATCGTATCAATATTACTATTGCGTTTTTTTTTTAAATACATTTTTTAAACTTAAAATATGTTTAGCTAAATTATCTTTTCGATATAAAGATTGCCCTAAACTCAGGATTAAAGTATGAAAATAATTTATACATAAAACAAGTTTAGGAAGTAAGAAGTGTCGTTATGCACTGTATAATGTTTCTGCACTCTTTATATACAAACACATAGAAAATGTAAGATATCATGATTATTTTGAAGAAAGATTTTGTTTATAAAATATTAATCCATTTTGCAGTATGCATACACTAAAGTACAATAATTTCTTTTCATAATTAGACAATTAATTAAATTATACAATATAAGATTTCTGTATACAAAATTTTTTAGTAATGATTTCTAAATACGGGCGCACATATACCGCTGTAACTGACAGACATTCCTAAACAGAAGTGCTTATCCGGTATACCTGAACATATAGATGACAGAACTGTCAGTTTTTTTTTCATTTACATGCTTAGATATATCAGTACGTGTGTATCTGGCTATAAGATAAAACTTCTTTTCTTTATATAATTTTTTAAACAGAATATTATATAATTTATACACTAATTTTAGATGTATTAATTCACATTAAAATGCAGTACTATTAAATACTCCACTGACACTAGTTGCCAAATTATTTTTACGTTAGAAAAAATATTTTAAGGAAATATAAACATAATTTAGTCTTTTATAAAACATTCAACAATTACAGGAGAGTATTGACTATATTTCCTTAACTAAAATGAAATATTTGGACCAAGTCTTTTGTGAAACTTTGAGATTATATCCACCAGTTCCAACGTATGTATTTTTTGAAAAATTGGCCAAAAATGAATTAAGTTTATAAATTTGTAACAATTTGTTAATGTTTGAAAATTAGCTTCAGTAATAGGATTGCTGAGGAAGATTATAAATATAAAGATATATTGATTCCTAAGGGTATGACAGTATATGTACCACAATGGGGTCTTCACAGAAATCCTGAGTATTGGTCTGAACCTGATGAATTTAAACCCGAAAGGTATGCTAAAAAATATTATATAAAATTTTAGTGTATAAACTTTCACAAATAGACAAATATAAAATTAAAAATATAAGCACTGTTAATTGTATGGACTTTGTAATAAATTTATTTAATTCTTTTAATAAACAAATAAAAATATTATTAAAATTTATGTTCATTTTGATGGAAAGATTCGACGATAAATCTAAAGTGGATCCTTACATATATCAACCATTTGGAATTGGTCCAAGGCACTGCACAGGGATGAGACCAGCTCAATTAATAGGAAGGTTAATATTAGCTAATCTAGTCAAAAACTTCAAGATTACTCTTTGTCCAGAAACAAAAGAGGTACAGACTCAGCATTATATTATTATTTTTTAAATAATATGTTTATTAATTTATCTCTTTATGAACGAGCATAAATAAATATTATTACTTTATATTTAAAAAACGATAAAATGTTTTCGTTGAAATGATAAATTTGTTTTGATTTCAGATTGAAACCGATATCAGTCTTGTAATTATTCATTCCAAGAATCCTATTTATATAAAAGCAACACCAATATGATGTCTGACGATAGGAAGTATTCATAAATTAATTATTATTACATATACCAAATACTATTCATCTTCATAAATTAATATTTTTGCTAGATACTGTCTTTCCTTCCTAAATCTTCATAATTTACTAGAAAAAAATTATATTTCATTTCATGGCTTAAATTAAACTAAATAAATAAATAAATGTTTAGTGTTTGAAGTAACATTTTCTTTTAATTAATGAAGTTTTGTAGGAAATAAATTTACTGAGACACACAGAAACTCTTTCTATAGTTTTTTATTTAGGCTGCAAGGCCGTATTCCCCCGAAGGATCTAAAAGAAAACCTGAGTGTAGCGAACACTAATAATTGAGTGCCGCCACGAATAGCTAAGTGTAGAAGTTAGTGCCAAGTGGCTGTTAGTAGGAAGGCTTATATCTACTTAATACTAATAAAACTGAACGCGAGCGCGAATCTTAATACTAAACAGCTAGGCAGAAAGCGCGAAATGCAAACGAACACAATGACAAACTATGTGACAAACCCGTACCAACTCATGCAAATGAGTTGGTACGGGTTGCAAGGCCAATTGTACCCTTCAAGAATAGCAGCTTTCATTAAACTATTCTTAATGTGATTGTACAGTACCTATTGCAGCGAAAAACTGTGAAGTGGTGTTTTGTCCTCCTGAATACCACAACCGTATTGTGGATTGTCTCCAAGGTTAAATATATGTATTACTTAAAGTTGCCGTGTCCTGTAAGTAGCTGAGTCAGGGTGTAACTAGAGTAAAAGTGGCGAAGAATCGCAGTAGTGTTAACCTTGGGATGAAAGTGTAGGTGAGCCTATCAGTGGTGTCATGGTCCCAGCTGTCTTGCCAGAGAATGAAGATTTACTTCTTGACGTGATTGTTGATGTACGAGGTAGGAATGTAACTGAAAGTACTGGTGACTGAAGACTTTGCAGCTTGCTTGGCAAGACGGTCAGCGATCTCGTTGCCGAGAACCCCCGCATGACTCGGGACCATTGGAAATCTATTCTAATGTTGTTTTCTTCTTAATTGAAGTTTTTAGACTATTTACAAAAAATTAAATTTTTCGAGTCTATCTTTTAAATCCCTTATACACCAACACAGAAGTAAAACAGTTTTAAAAAATAGCTTTTGAAGAAAACTTCTAATGAAGAAAACACTTCTAAAACAGGTAAAAATCTTCATATGGTATGAAGAATTCATTATGGTTTTAATGTAAAAAGTGTCAGAACCTAAAAGAAAAGGCTGGAACTTGATCTTTTTTAACTTTGCGGACTTTTCTACCAATTTTTACCTGTTTTAAAAGTGTTTTCTTCATTAGAAGTTTTCTTCAAAAACAATTTTTTACAACTGTTACTTCTGTGGTGGTGTATAAGGGATTTAAAAGATAGACTCGAAAAATTTAATTTTTTGTAAATAGTCTAAAAACTTTAATTAAGAAGAAAAAAATATATCCTGAGTTATCACAAAAATTGTAACTAATGTTGTTTTCTAAGAGTCTGAGAATGTGGTGTATGAGATGGACGAGTTTTAAGCGGCTATCAGACTTCGCAATCTGTGTAAAGCTACCCTATTGTCAGAATAAATATGATAGTCTAAGTAGCGTCTTCTGTCCTTCTACGCCTAATGTGAATTAAGCTCATATAAATAGCTAAAGTTTCTGCCTGTGATATTGAGCAGTGTGTACCTAGACGGAAGCAAGCGTTGTGAAGGTCGTGGAGTAAACTACAAAAGTGGCACCCACCCACATCATCACCCATCTTGGAACTGTCAGTGTACATCCTAAACATGGAATGATCACCTGGATTTTCGAAGTAAACGTCAGGGATGAGCTGATGGGAGGATGGTAATCGTAAGTCGCGAGGGTATTTTTGTCGATGCTGAATTTTTTGATATCATCGATTAAGGTCAAACTGGGGGAATCTTACCTAATCATTTTATAGACATCCGAGTCGTTATAATCTCGCCGGGTAAGGTGACAAGATTTTCCTGCCAAATATGCGTTTAATTTCTAAGTCGATAGGGATCAACACTAACATTACTAAAGGGTCACTATGGGTGCAGTCCTATAAGCCTTACAAATGAGGAGAGCTGAAATCCTTTGAACAGATAACAGTTTTTTACGGTTATGGACTTTGGTGGCCACGTGACCCTAGACCTGTACGGCATTATATATTCATACAGTAGCCCTTCGTTATAACATGCTTCATTATATCGCTCAATCTCATTATATTCGGATTATATCGCGCTTTTTTTTTGTCTTTCTAATACAAAAGTACTTTAGTGAATAATGTTTAAGAAAATACAGCATTTTGTGTTTGTCTAATTATGTTAGAAAATGACTATTAATCAGTTATAATCATTTGTTATAAATTTAGCCGATACTTAAAAGCAAACATAAGTTATTTGCTGATCTCTTGGTTTATACATAAACGTTCATAGATTTCTCTGCTTTGCATAAATATGTTTGCACTTTACACTATTAAAAATTTATACAAATTACATTTTCATATTATATTTATGAAGCAATCATTGTTAATGTAGACCTATAAATTTTTACTGTCCATCTCCTGTCTTTAGTTAATCGACAGAACTGAGTTATATAGATGGAATTCGAGAGGAGGTATGGAAACTGTGGGCACCGGATGCACAATGAACGTTTGGTGCCAATTAATAGATGACCGGCGTTGAAGGAAAAGTATGATTTACAGGGGAAAGCCACTACTAATTTTAGATGGAGAACGTATATTTTAAATTAAATAAATTATAAATATGATCAAAAATTAATTTGTGGCATTTTGACTAAGTCACAATGCTAAGACAAAATTTCTCATTTTGTCTTGAAAAGGGGCCAGTATGGTTAAATTGAATTAAAGCGCCTCTCCACAAGATAAAGAAAGAAAGAAAACTCATAGTTTCAAGACCAGAATCCAACTAAGAAAAAGAAAATTGACAGAATTCTATAAATTCTGTTGTTTTTGCTGTACTTTAGGCGAGATTTCCGATTCACAGGTACTTAAGAACTTACCTGATATAATCATTCAATATTTTATATCATTAGTACATAAAACCTTGGTTCTTGCTTTCTGAAACATCAATGAAGATTTATTTTAAAAAAGCTATGAATATTGAAGTGAGAACTGAGAGTTTGATAGGGAACATTTTTATGATTTTTAGTCAATATTTTAGAATATTTTAAAGCTGTAAAAAGATAGAAAGTTTATTTTTCTTGTCATCTTTACACTTCCTGTGAGTCATTTGAGAAGTGACTTTGTTCTTTCAAAAGTGAAAGTATCACCTCATAGTTCCCTTAGGAACAGAGTGTGAAAGGAATCGTGACAATCCTCATCAGTCTACTGATTCTGTATGTAAGGTAAAGATTGCCTCTTTACCGCGCTTTTAATTATGTACCGGTAAAGCCGTACTTATAGCTACAAGCTATAATTAGCTTTCTGATTAAGTTTCGTCCTTATTTTGGATTATGAAAGAATGATATGAGAAGTCTTTCATTCAAGAAAAGGGTCTTACACAACATCTCCAGGTAACGAATGAAATAATTGTAAAACTTTCTGGCCGCCGCGAATAAGTGTAAACTTTCAGACAGGGCCTGCTCTAGCGGTTACGTCGCTTCGGACAAAAAGACAAATTGCCGCACCTTAAGAATATATATATTTAAATAAAGGTACATATTTTTTATTTTCAATAAAAATCAAATCATTTTATTTAAATTTTAATAAAAGCATATATTTAGAAAGGAACATATAACATAACATTGATAATCAAAGAGTACAAAACAGTAGAAATTAATTAAGAAATATCTGTACCTAGCCACAAATTGTTACCCATATAATTTTTTACATTTTTAAATGCTATTAAACAATCAAAATGCCATTATTTTGAAAATAAAACAAGGTAACATCAACTGCTCTAAAATCACAATAAACTTTTTTCTTACTTTCAGTTGTGCAAACTTTTTTATCGCATCACTTTGTGAGATAAGCCGGAGGCTGTAGGGGGTTACCCTATTAACCACTTAATCGGCACAGGCTGGCCAAGCCCGATCTCGACGTCGACGGATGGATTAGGAGAGCAAAAAGTGAGTGGGGAGTGCGTTTGTAAGCCGGCAGGCGTCCTTCCAATGACAGGAGACAGGTTTAACAAATAAACAAAGCATTTATTAAAATAACAAATCTTGATTACAGGAGGCGATAATAATATTACGGTTAAATGCGGTTAAATATGAGCTAACTGCTCTGACAGCTAAGCCTATCCTCGGAGAGAGAGTTCACAAATCTCTAATAAAAATACCTCTATGAGGAAATGAATGACGTGCGTTGAATGGTCGTGGGAATCGTAATCGGTGCAGGAACTGTCGAATGGCGATAAGTAAGGAAGTTCAAAGTTGTGGTCTATCTTCTATCGATGTCTTCCTTTCGGTCGGTTATGGAGACAAGATGCACACATTAATGAGTATAACTTCCTGTAAATCGCCTCGAACTTCCGGGGGCTCGCGCTTTTATACGTTTGTCGTGAGAAAGGAGTCACGTGATCGTCATCTGTTGACATTAACGGTGCATTCTTGACACCTATGTATCAACTTTCCCACCTAATTGTGAAAACAAACGGTCACCTCCGATATAATTCTCACTAAGATCGTTTTTTCTACCGGAGTTGTTTACAATATTTTTTTACGACAATTACGTAAAAATCGCGGATCTCACATCTTGATCAGCAATTTCATGGTCAATTGCCAACATGGCCAAACCATTAAGACGATTTTGTGTAATAGTTCTTAATTAATTTTAACTTAGAGAAACTCCTTTCGCCAATTGCTACAGTTATTGGTATCGTTAGCTATATTCTTAAAGCAATAGTAAGATTTGGGGCAAAATTTAACTTTGTAATTAAAATCAGTACATTGCTTAGACTTTTTTTTGGCTAAAAGCGCAGATACTGCTGAAATTTCTTCGGCTAATTCTATTCCATTTATGTCAACAGAATCACCATCAGTTAATTGTTAGAAAGATTATTTCAACTTTAATTATAAATTAGTCCAAAAATAAAAAGTGCGCAAATAATATTTAAACTGATACACGTAGGCAATTAATATAAATTTAAAAAGTTTTATTAAATAAAAGTTTATATACACGTTTAATTGTTCAACATAATTATAATTGTAGCTTAGACATATGCTAACTGCGATAGTTCCCTTTTCTTTTCATTCGGGTGTCCAGTGTTGACACGCACGTTGCAGGCGAAAATCCATTATTTTCCGGTCAGAATTTCATCGTCAGTTGAGAGATTTCAAACGACCGAAGACGGTGCTAAGTTGTCACCGTCGACTTTAATTAACTGAAGTGGAAGAACACGTCCCTCGTAAGCGATGACGAAGGACATGTATCATTCCAAAAATTCCCAGCAGGAAAGGGAAGACGCCAAACCGCCATTAAAAGTCACATCCGGTCATTAGGTCAAAGCCAGGTAAAAGTCCACATCCGGGTAAAAATGTCACAATCGGGAATAAAAGTCACATCCGGGTAGAAAAAGTCACGATCGGTGGAAAAGTCACATCCGGTAAGAAGACCTCGAAGATTTATTTCTTCCAGAAGAAGAAAATCTTCTTCCACCAAGGCTTCTTTTTCCTCTTTTTCAGGATCGATTTACACTCCCCTTCGACTCCTTCCTCGCGTGCCTCTCTCTGCACCGACCATTCCGGAACTTCTGGATATCTCTGTTCCAGGTAGTCGATGACAGACGAGGTGCTCTCATCGGGAATGGTGACAATCACCCGTTTCTTGTCGGGTTCCTTCGCACCCTCCAGCACTTCTTTCGGACGCACGCGAATCACTCGAATCGAAGAGGAAGACGTTCCTGATGTCGAGGAGCTTTCCTCCGCACTCTGTCCTCCAGAGGTATTCCAATTCTTTAGAGCTTTAAAATTTTCCATCCTGCAAACAATAAAAACCGAGTATTAAATATTATAGAACGAACGTTAAATTGAGAGAATATTAAAAAATCATAATGTAAATACGACAGAAAGTTTTAGAAAATGACCGTTTTAAGTATAAGAAAAATTGTAATCACAAATGAATATAAAATTGCACTGGAATATTTGTTGTGGGAAAATTATCGCTGCTAATTGTGATTTAGTACCTAGCAATGTTAAAAAATACCTAAATCTAGAACGATCAGGGACTAAACTTACCTAAAATAATCGCAAAAACTGCAGCAAAACTCTCCGAAAATACTCGAAACAATCGCATTCGAACAAAGTAACAGACAATTGTCGAAATTCTATTGTCGCGTGGCGTCTCGGTTTAATGCTAAAAATATCGATATTTTGACAGAATTTCGATTCCGAAGTGTCTTTCTATAGAAACGGACCATTTTGATTTTTGTCTGTAGTCGTCCACTCACGCCCACAGAGACGAGGTATAATCCATTTTGTTAGAGTTAAGATGTTCGAAGACGATCGTAAACTAAATTGTATTTAATTTAAATTGAGCAATGGTAGAATCTTTTGGAACTGTTGTTTCTATATTGTTAAACCCATTATAGATCTATAAATGCCCACTGTCGTCTGCCTGTCAGTCCTTCCTCAAAATGAAAACTTTAATATTTCGGAATTAATACAAAAATTTGTAATTGTCGCTTTTATTTCCCTGTAAGGTTAGATTCTATTAGAACATGTTGCACTTAGATGGCTGCACTCAAAGAACTGTTTAGGTTGTCTTTAGGAACCGACATCTCCGAAAGTAGTACTGTTGTATCTCCAGGAAGCGCGAATAAACAGTAAATTGACGAAGAAAGCGATTCATACGTTCTTAATGACATAGGAGTGTGCAAGACAACCGACGATCACTTTAATCGTCATGATTAAACAATAAACAACAGCACTTATAATAGCTTAGAGATTCATTATGTACTTTTTAAAGTATTGTTTTTATCCTAATAACTTATTTTCTAAAATTATTGTAAATGCATATTTAAAAATCAGTTTACTGTCGGGATAAATCGTCTGGACGTACGATTTCCCGCGCTTTTCTTGTTTTCAAACGTCCAACAAACGTTGTCATGGAAACGCGGATCCGGCGATTTCAGTAGTTTTGAAACTCGACCGCGGATTGGCTAGAAAACATCGTACGACCAGCGGACGTCCGATAGCGCTACTAATCGCTGATTGGAGGACTTACATTCGTTTCAATCCGTATAATAGGATTGAATTAGGCGGGAAGTTTAGTTCGCCTAAGACATAACTAAGGAACTCAAGCTTGAACAATTTTAGTAGTACGATATAAAAATATGTGTAACTTTATTACAATTGGGATTTGTTAAGCGGACACTCTACATACATGAAATGCGTTACTGTCTCAATCTGTTTTTATCGACACAATAGATTTTCATCGCGTCTATTTTCTTGTTTAGAGTTTTATACATTATTGCAGTTAAGTTGATTTCAAAAGCTCATTACCATATTCTCTGTTGAGTTTTTAAAATCCATTTAATTGCGCAATTTTATACACACAGTAAAATTTCTACGTTGACTAATTTACCGTTGTATGAGTTCGCTTTATGTTTACATCAGTCTATAGAAAGCACGTTGCTTTTTACAGACCATTAATGAATTGTATGACCATAATCAGCAGAAACAACATTTCCAATTCACTACTATATAATCATATCGATAAGGTTGTTAAAAAAAAACACAGTAAACATTCATCCAGGCCCACAATTTTCTTAACTGGCTTTTTGAGCCTTTTTTATTTTCTCTTTTCACATTCTCGTGTCGCGTATGACTGACTGAAAATTTCTTAAATATCAAGTTAGCGATACAATTATATTTATTGGTTAAACGTCCATATACTTAAGCCAGTGGAGCTTTTATAGAAGCAGATCATACAACTGCATAGAGGCCCACTTGGAATCCGTTTTGTGAAGTAGGAGGCAAAAGGCTGGAGAATAAATTATACGATAATAGATTAAAGTACAAAATCTTCAAAATGAGTAATATCAGTATTTAGAAGGTCACTGAAGAGGTCAGAAATCACAGAAAGGTCTTTATTATCGCATTGCTTCAAATTTTGGGATCCTACTATAAATTGGCTGCCAAACTGCCGAAATGTTGAATTGGTTCGGAAATATTCCAGACCAAAATTCAGTGACCGTAATTCTGTTACAATAGAAAATATTATATAAAAAGTTGAAGATTGTCCATGTCTAAACTCATGTATATTTTTAATCTGTGAAGATCGTTAAACCGCATGGCCGAACGTCTTAACGTTCTTCTAAAACACTAGCAATAATGATTTTAAAATAACATATGTAACTACAGGGTTACCATACATCCGAATATATGTAGAAACACTCGTTTTAGGAGTAAAAATTACCGTCTACTTCCGGTTCAAAAATTATTGTACTCATTTCCGGTCTTTGGACGTTTTCCTTCACTCTGGAGATACCCCACGTAAGTACTGTACTGTACAAATGGAAATTTTCTCTGTTAGTAACATCATAGCGTTAAATTTGAAATTCAGTAGTTGGCTACCTGGCTAATTACATTCGCACTTTCGATACTACATTAGCATAGTCTTCACTAAGCGTTTATGGTTCCGATCTTCATTGACAGCTTTGCTTTTCGGTCACATATGGACGGTGTGAAAGCATTCGGTTTTCTCGTGTGTTTACTGTTTATGATCATCTACAGTTAGATTCATCGAAGTAATTGTTTTTTTGATACATAATAGTGAATTTCTTTAAAAAAAATTAGATACAGTATAGCAATAAATATATACGAACTTAACAATACTGTAATTAGTTTTAAAAGTATGGATAACCTTTGCTTTCTGTAAGTCAAATTATTTATTTACCTTCTCTGTTACTAAGCATTCTTGTTAAAACTATGAAATATATTTTAAAATGAAATCACTTAATATAATTTATTGTCATAACGCTTCCAAAAGTAAAGGTTCATCGCAGTGTACAGTATTTGTAATTCCTAGTTAGAAATTTTTAGGACTTCACGTTCAACTCTGAACAGCAAGTTGGTTCGAGTGTTCTCCTTTTGAAATTTTACAATATGATAACCATAGGAACGTTAATATCTAAAGAGATTAACTACCATAATGTATTTGTTTTGAAAAATTATAAACAATGCATTAGTAGGAAAATTGGGCAATTCCGGACACCGGGTAAAGCCGGACGTGATATATTGTATAAAATAAAATTCGGTAGCACTGTCATCTTGTGTTATGATTCTTGTCAGCCATGTAATATTGACATATATTGTTATACTCGCGCGTTTTGTCCATGTCTTGTGCACTAAAACTGCTTTTCAGGAAATGTTTATCACGTGAAGTTGTGAGATATTTTATAAATATGGGCAATGATGTGTTTTGTGCAATTTATTTACCATATATCGAAATTTAGATAGGATAACGCCTCAAAGCTGATTAGAATCAAACATGACGATTTGGAGCAACCGCGGACACTTACTCGGGGCAATCACGGATCCGGGGAAATACTTTCCGGAAATGCCTCAGGGTTCATTTTATATTATTACCTGAGTAAATATATCATAAAGTGAACCAAGAGGCATTTCCGGAAAGTATTAAGATTGTATTTATCTTGTAATATTCTACTACTTTAGGTTGCAATAATCAGGAGCAGATACTGACATTGGAAACCTAAAACTGTAGTAATTTAATACTTGAAATGTTCATTTGTCATTTTAATAAATTGGCGAATATATTGTATTTAATTTCTAATGAATTTGTATAAATAAATTATATTCAATATTTAATTTTATTATGTCCTTTGTATGCAAAATTCTGGCCACTTTCTAGTTCTCCCGTCGTTGCCAAACTGTCCTGCACTACAGAGGAATACCGGACACTGCATAGTTGTCAACTTTTTTTTACTTTTTGGAAAAAACAGGTTAGATTTTTTAATGCACTAAACCCTACAATAGCTAACAGATTGGAGTATCAATTGATACTAAAAGATCTAAGTTTCCCTGACGGGTCGCTTAGTACACACTAAAATATTCTTGTGCTTACGTTTCCCAGTCTCTCTTATAATATTATTCATTTGTTTTAACTGAGTAAACAGCTATTCAAAACACAGTAGTAGGCCGATACATTCCAAAAATAGTGTGTATATACATAGACTACTGTATTTTCTTTTATCTACATATTTGCATATTACATCAAAGAATATTAAACAGTTTAATAACACCGGTTGGCTCAAACATAACCTGGTATATTATATAAATATCACAAAATATTAAAATTTTGCTTCTTCAGTTTTTCATTCAAATTTTATCGAATAAATACAAAATACAAATTGTATACAGTATTTAACTCGTTTTGATTTGTTTCATCTTCACAGTGGAGTGGCGTTAAGATAAATCGGATGTTTAGAGAAAGTTATGACAAGTGTGAAATGAGGCTCAATCTGAAAATAAATAAAAATATCTAAACTTTGAATTTAGGGCAGGGGTGTCCAACCTTTCTGTTTCTCTGGGCCACATTGGAAGAAGTCATGGAGTTTTGGGCCACAAGTATATTTTGACCCGATCCTTAAATATACAAGTATATTTAAGTATTAACATGTCTAGATTATAGTAATAAGTATTAAAAGTTTACCACAAAAAAGATTATTTTTAAAAATTGCTTTTACAGACACTTTCAATTTTTATTTAGAAATAAATAAATTCATTTATTATAAAGGAGACAAACAAAAATTTATTTGAAAAACACAAATATTTGTTTTATTTGGGTCTCTAATTAATAAAAA